GTAGGAGTCCGGGCCTTCTCTGGGGACCCGTGCTCTAACCGGGAATGACAGCCCCAGGACAGGGCTGCCTAACAGTCCCAATGCTAAATCCTAAAGCCCCCGCTGCCCCAGTGGTCCCACCTCTTCCTGCATGCCCTCAGAGAGCAGCATCAGGACGCAGGCCTCGATTGGCAGGGCAATGTCCCGGCCCAGCTCTTGCAGGTGGCTTGCCAGTGACACCCCATACACCCTGGAGAAGGGGGCGGCCGTCATCGAAGGGGAGGGGTCTGCAGGGATGAGACAGGCCCCTGGGCTGTCAGGCCGGGGTGGACAGGCACCCCAGTACCCTCAAGGTGGTATCACCTTACCCCTTACTCCACACACACTTGAAAGCACCCATGATACTTCCTGAACTGGCCACTGCCTCTGCCTAGGCCAGGCCCCTCTCCTCCCTCTGACTCCTAGGCTCACAGTGGCTGCAGCAACCCGTCCACACAAACCCGACCCAGACTGCCCCTGCTCCAAACTCAACCATAGCTCCCTATTGCCCTTCAGGATGGGGTGCTAGCTTCTTAACTGGCTCTGGGCAGGGCACAGTTGGGGGTGTGGGGTTGGCCAGCCATGTCTCCACCTGCTTGACTGTGATTGTCCCTCAGCTCAGCCAGGGCTGTGTCCAGTGAAGTCAGCGACCTGCGATGATAATCAGCCTGGATCTCCAGAAGCTGTGGGGACAGATAGACATCCCCGAGGGAAGTGAGGGAAGCTGAGAAAGATCCACAGAGCGGATCCCCGGCCCCACCGCAGGCCCTGGCCCTTCCTCCACCCGCCGAGTGGCAGATGGCGAAGCCGGGCCTTGGACTCACATGAATGAAGTAGTTGGCATATGAGTCCTCCTTGGTGGAAAAGTGGTACAGATCCGCCAAGTACTCATCCTTGGGACAGAGAGGGGAGGGCGTGTGCCAGGTGAGGCTGGGGGCAATCGTCCTGTCACTCACTCATCAGCAAACACACCGCGTCCCGCCTCCCGGGGGTTGGCATGGTGCAGACAGTGGTGCCCACGAGGTGGTGGCCGAGCAGATTCTGCCTGGATCCCAGCTCTGCCGCCTTGGAGAATCAGGTCACTTCTCTGAGCTTCCTTTCCTCATCTGTGAATGGGGACAGTCCCACGCTGCCACCCCGCGCCCGGTGTCCTCACCTTGCACTGCTCCACCTTCCTCTTCAGCTCCTCCTCCTCCTCCTTGAGCGTCTCCACCTTGTTGGCTGTGGTGGGGTGGCCGTGGCTGCCTGGGCCGCCGAGGCCTTGACTGCTGCCTGAGTTCTTGGCGGCCTGGCTGAGCCTGGGGGTGATCCCAACGGGGGGTGGTCACCAGCCCCACGGCGTGTCCAGAGCCAAGGGTCCCCTCCGCACACCTGACCGCACGGCATTCTAGGGTGGGCAGACACCAATCCTGGGCCTCTTCCTGGCTTGGGTGAGAGGGCTCTGGGGCGACCCCTGGTGTTGGGTGTGGTGATGACAACCACTAAGCTCGGAGCAGGATGGGCCTCCTGCCATTCAGGGATCTTGGAGATTGCAGGTATCCTAGGGGTCACCGTGACACTGGGCTCCCCATGACACTGGCTGTCACCAGCACGTACACAGCCTCTCATGTACCCTCCCCACATGTGTTCCCACGGACCAGCCATGGGCCCAAGCACACACTACCCAGTGGGCCCCGCGGTCTCCTAGTGTGGCAGGGGTCTCAGAGCTGTGGCCTGACCCAGGCCCAGGCCCTACCTGCTCTTGAGGGTGTTCCAGTCGGAGACCAGCTTCTGCAGGCTTTTCTTGTGCTTAAGGATGGTTGGCAGCTCCTCCTGCGGGCAGGGAGGGGAAGGTTCAGTGGGCAGAGGGAGGGAGCTGGGAGCTGGGGAGGGTGGGACCTGGCGCAGGGGACAGGGTCACCTCACTCAGCCTGCTGAGTGGCTGCAGGACATCCCTCTCCAGGGTCATCTCAAACTCGGCCAGGATGCGGGCCAGCTGGTTCTGGATGACACAGCTCATCTCCAAGGCCTTCCTGTGGAACAGCGCCCGTGGGCCAGAGTCCCGCGGCCCTCGCCCCACCTGGAAGCACTTGGTGGGGCCCCTCCTCCAGGCTCTCTCAGGCCTGGCCACCCTCACCGAAGGGGACCCTGTCCCCAGCCGGTCATCTTTTGGTGTGGATGCTCTTGCCGACCTGGACCCCTCCCAACCTAGGATCACTTTCCAGTATCCTCAGATGAGGGTGGGGTCCTCTCTGCTCACCCCATGCTGGAATCGGGGTCCAGCTCCTTGAAGCTCTCGGCCATGGTGGTGGACAGGGCCATGAGGGGAAGCTTCTTCTGCAGGGAATGTGGGATGGGCTGTGAGCATGAGGGCACCTGCCCCCCACCCTGCCTGAGCTCCCTCGGGCAAGCCCCAGGCAGAGGGGAGGGAACCCAGGAGGGCCAGACACAGGGGGTAGTGAAGACTGAATGACAGGGACGAAGAGGTGACGTCTCCTTATAACCACGTACAGAACCCCCCATCTGAGGTCCCCTTCCCTCCCTTCTAGAAGTCACCTAACTGGGCAGGAAGGAATCCCAAAGTCCCATCAAGGACTAGGAAACTACTGCACAGAGAGGGTAGGGAACTTACCCAAGGTCACACAGTTGGAGGGAAAAAAAGGAGGAGCTAGCCTTGGAGTGGGACTCTTTCCCCTGCCCCAGGGTGTAACAGTTGGCTGACCTGGCCACCTCTGAGTGCTGAGCTCAAACCTGCCATGGCACCCTCTTGCCAACCCCATGTTCTGGCCACATTAAATTGTTGACTGACTCCCCCACTCTCCCACCTGGAGAGACAGACAGCACCTAGCTTTGGGATCAGAGACCAAAGGTCAGACTGGACTTCTGTCCCTTGCTAGTTGTGGATCTTAGGTGAGGGACTTTAAGCCTATTTTCCTCATGTGTAAATAGCATCTCCTGCTGGGGCTCGCAGCCCCCCCGTGAGACAGGCTTGATCATGTCTTAGCAGCTGAGTGGCATCGAGGGATCAAGATAATACCAGCGAGTGTCCCTCAAAATCCTGCATGAAGGCCACTCCCTCCAGAGGCTGCCCAGGGAGACTGCTCTGTGAGCTGATTGGACAGAAAGGCTCAGGTGCTGTCAGAGGCCAGCGGGGGCCCACAGGGATGGTGCAGAGGGGCAGGGCCAGGAAGGGATGGGGAAGCCAGGGCTTTCAGGAGTGAGGTACCTCCCCAGGGCCTTGGGAGGCAGTCTCTTGACCTAGGTGCAGAGGTTCACACTGGCAAGGGAGAGCCCAGCCCTTACCTTGCCCCTGCACTGGACAGAAACCTCCTGCCTGGGTCCTCCCAGGAACCCCCACTCACCACCCGCTTGTCCATGTCGGCCCCACTCTGGCCCTGCAGACAGGCCTGCAGCCGTTTGTGGACATTGTGGGCTGCTCGCTTGGCGGGCTCCAGGCGCTGCTCCACCTGCGAGGGAGAGGTGGCTGTGGGCCGGGGTGGCTGTCCTCCCTCACTGCCCTGCTGCCTCCCTAGAGCAGAAACTGCCTTCTCTTTCCTCCTCCTGCGACCCCGCAGCCAACAGCAAGGGGAATGACTCCAATGGGGCCCAGCCAGTGTCCCCAAGGGCCTTTCTGAGGCAGCCTGCTCAGGCCTGCCTCCCTCAGCGGGCCCAGGCACGTACCTGCAGCAGGTCCTCACCCAGGAACTCGGCAGTCTCAGGAGTGCTGCGGGGAGGGGACAGTTGATGTGGAGCAGGTTCAGGAACCCCTGCCTCCCTGCCCCCCCCCCAGGGCACTGGGACCCCGGTGGCTTCCAGTGCCCCTCCCAGGTGTGGCCACGCTGGGTGGCCTGCCTGCCTCATCCCAGTTAGAGCACATTCCAAGGGGTGGAAGAGGATACATGACTTCCTCCTCCACCTGGGGCTGTGTCCTGAGTGGGTGGGAGGGCCACAGGGCCCAGCTGTGGGTGGCAGGGGCAAGGCCTCTCTTCTGCCCGCCTTGCAGACTGTCAGCCTTCCCGGAAAGAGGAGGCCTAGGCTGGCCCCAGAATGGGAAGTGTGGGAGCAGGGACTTCTGGGCTGTTGGGCACAGGAGACTCTGGACACTAGCTGTGGGCAGGAGCGGGCAGCCTCTGGGTCCCCTCTGGGGGACCCACAGGGATGCTGAGGCCCCTCGCAGGGTGGCCTGGCTGCCCAGGCGCACACAGGCGATTGTGCCAGTGTGAGACTAGAACTGGTCTCTGGACACGCGGTCCCTTCCCCTGGGACCACAGAATGGGGAACTCAGCTGGGGAAGGAGCAGAGGACAGGCCTTCAGAGGCTCCCCAAACTTCCGGCCTCTGCTCTGCCAGCTCAGGAGCTGGGGGAGGGCACCAGGAGACCAGGGGACATTTCCACCTGGGCTGGAGAAAAGCAGAAGCAGGACCAAGAAGCAGGAGGCCTGTGGGCAGGAGGAGGGGACCAGAGGGGGCAGGACAGGGACAGTGGCTTCTCTCCAGACCAGGACTGGGTCTGTTCCCCTGCCCCAAGGTCTGGGTCCCTCCCCCACCTAACAGCCAGAAGTGATTAACTGTCCCCATTGTCCGGAGGGCACAAGTGAGGTCAGGGAGGACGATCACTCCGAGGCTGCGGAGGCAGAGAAGAGCCAGGTCCCTGGTCGGGGCGGTCTCCCCCACGCAGCCCCGTCCAATCGGGGCTGGGGCGCCCCTTCCCCAGAGGCCAGCTCTGCCCTGGAGTCGGCGGCCTCGGTGGGGAGGAGAGGGCAGGGTTCTAGCGGCTGGAGGGCGGCTGCCCAGCTGTCCCTGCCTCCCCCACCCGTCCCCCACTCTCCGCGCCCTCTCGGGTCCTGCGGGGCGAGAGCGGGGCTGGAAGCGGGTGACACTCACCGTCCCAAGCTGCCCGTCTGGGCCAGCTGCCGCATGCGGTGCAGCTGCCGCTTCATCATCGTGGGGCCGGCCTGGGCGCGGGGTCGCGGCGGGGGTCGGGGCGGGCGCCGGCGCTGCCTCCCGCGCCGCCTGGCCCGGATGGGTGGGCGGCGCTCGGCTTCCTGGGCCGCGCGCCCCGCTGCCTCCTCCCGCCGACTCCGCCCCCGGCCCCCAGGTCACTCCTCTCTCCAAGTTGCCGTCCCGCTCTCCCCGGGCTTCCGGGCCCCCCACGACCCTCGCTCGGCCGCCCCGCGAGTGTCCCGCCGGCCGGCCGCCCGCGGTCCCCAGGTCGTGCGCCCGGCTCCTCCCCGCCCGCCTGGCCCCGCCCGTGGCGGGAAGCAGGTAAGCCGCGGCCGCCACCGCCCTCCGTCGCGCGGGCCTCGGGTACAAACAACCTTTGCACCCCTCTCAAGGAAAAGGAGGGCTGCGCGGCTGGGAGGGAGGCCCAGGACAGGGGCCTCTCTGACCCGGGCTGTCCCTGGGGCCGGCAGAGGGATGTGGCCCCGGCTCCCTGTCCCAGAGCACCTCTGACCCGGCTGTCCCTGCTGGCTGGCGGCCTGGGAGCTTTGACTTCTGGGACCACCGGCTGCTGTTACCTTGGGACAAGTCCCTGGCACTCTGCACCCCAGTCCCTAGTGCACTGCTGTCTTGACCCCCCATCTGCTCCTCCAGCCTTCCAATTCCTGCTTTTGTCCCCCTGTGGGGGACCTCAGCAGATCCAATTTCTTGCATCTGTAAAGCCCCTTCTCCTCTCATTCCTCCTGGCAAATGTCCCCAACTCCTGCCCTTGCCTTTTTGTAAGTCGGTGATGTGGGCGCTGTTTCCCGGAGTCAGCTCTTTGGCCTGCCCAGCAGGTACTCTGGTTATACAGGACATGAGCCTCTGAGAAAGGGCTGTCCTTTCCCCTCCCAGTGTGGCCGGCAGGCATCAGGGGAGGGTGTGTGGGAGAGGCCCCAGCTCCCTCCACTTCATGAAGTCGGTTTCTGTTCTGTTCCAGCTCTGCCCAGCACCTACTGCCTGTGGTGGACAGACGGGCACTCCCCAAACGGAGCACCTTGGCTTCAGACATCTCCACATTCCTAGTGCCCAGAACAGGGCCTCACTGGAAACTGGCGGCCCCTCCAGTCCCTGAAGGAGGGTCTGGCAGGCCCCATGGGAGGCTGGAGGAACTGAGATGGAACCCAGCAGCTGCTCCCAGCTGGGAGCCCACCTGAGTGGAATCCTGGCCCCAGGATCAAAGGCTCAGGTCTGGGTGAGGGGATCCCTCCCCACCTCCTTTCCCCCACAGGAAGGCTGCTGGCCAGGGATCCTGGGGAGGGTGTGGGGAAGCCCTGGTGAGCAGAGTGCATATTGTGGGCCTGGGTTTGGATGTCGGGGTTCTGGTCCTTCCCTTCCACCTTTCCCACTAGCCAGATCCTAGAACTTCCTTGTGGCTCTGTTTTCTTGTCTCTGCAATGGGCACAACCTGTTGGGCACAGCCTTGGGAAGCTGAAGATTCCCAGGCTGGCAGCCTGACCTCAGGTGCCAGCTCTCCCACCTGGGGAAGTCTCTGGACTCCACCATGCTCCTGCCCTCTTCCAGCTCAACCTCCAGCCCAAACCACAGCAGACTTGGGCTTGTCCAGCTGCTCATCTGGTCTGAAGGTTCCTGAGGGTGAGGCCTGGCTTGGTCTAGGAGGGGACCGGTCCACATGGACTTAGCTGCAGCTTCTGTGGAAACAGCCAGCATCGTATCAGGCTGTCCCCTCTAGCCAGGGATCCAGGTTCCCCTCTAGCCGGACCCAGGAGACTTCTGGTTCTGACCTGGCCTGGGCTGCTGTACCTCTTGACTGGACGACTGGTGTCGTCAGCAGCTGGGCACCGGTGTGTTTTAGGTCCTCTCATGTCACACGGGGCTGTGGAGTCATAGAAGGCTGGAAGCCCCAGAGCTTGGGTCTGAAGCTGTCCTTGGAAAGATGTTGTGATCACATGCAGTTTCCATCAGTGAACGCTGGGATCACTGGGATTGTGGAATTTTTAGAAACTGCAGGTGTGGGGTCTGGGGATATGGCTCAGTGGGTAGAGTGCTGGCCTCACATGCACAAGGCCCTGGGTTCAATCCCCAGCACCACAAAAACAAAACAAAAAGAAATGCAGGTGAGGAAAGGCCTCAGACCAGCTGACCCCTCCCACGTCCCTTTCCTAACCAAGGGGCCTGTGACTTACCTGGCTCTACACCAGGTTGTGTCTCCTCCTGGGGGGAGTCCTGGCACTCATCTGGCCCATGCAGGATCCCTGGGAGCCCAGCAGTGTGTGTAGTCCCGGGAGCCCTGTGGACATAGCCCACCCGAATGGCAAGAGAGGACCTGTGAGGATAGAGCTGTAGGGGGCCATGGAGCTGGTGGGCCCAGCTTCACCTCTCAATCTTGCCCAAGATGGTTCACCCCCTGCCTCGGTGTCCCCATGGTAAGATGGACCATGGGGGCTGGGAGGCTTAAACAGATTAATGTGGAAAATGCTTAGAAGAGTACCTGGCCATTTCTGGTTTCCTTTGTTTTCCATCCCGCCGAAAGCCCAGTGGAAGGAGCCCTCACCCCACTCCGCCTAGGTCACCCTTGAGATGAGTCTGCTGCCTCCCACAGTCCTTAGCATTTCCTCCAGGGAGCTTTGTCTTTGTCCCCATTTTACAGATGAGATGGCTGCTACTGGCCCAGGGCCCCTTGCTGGCTGAGTGGTAGAGGGCAGGTGTCAGCCCCAAAGCCCACAGTTGCTTTCCTTTCCATGGTGGCAACGCCTGGAAACTCCATTAGTACTGGCCCTCGCCCCTGCTTCAACCTGTGGCCACTTGGAGGGGCCCCACGGTCTTGGCACGGATTTTCCTGCACCAACATACGTGTGACAGAGAGGTGTCTGTGGGGAGGCAGGGTGCAGGCGGGGCAGCGGCTGCTGTGAGGTCGGCAGTGGCGGGGGCAGCATCCCATCTGAGACATTTGTACAAATTGCTGGTTTGTGGTCAGCCCGGCACTGCGCTGTGTGGCCTCTGCCCAGAGCAGCTGGGCACTGGTGTGCTCTCTGGGATTCTAAAACTCCTTCACCCTTGCTCCCAGCCAAAGGGCTTTCCAGGAACCCTCAGGTGGGGCTGAGGCACAAGGCCTCCCATCAGTAGCCCCAGGATAGTGTGTGCCCTTGCCCCGGCTCCAGAGGACCACAGTCAGGGCTGACAGAGGCTGGAGGAGCAGGCTCTGGGGCCGGGAGTGCCATGCGCCTGGTGGCCAGCTCCTCTCTAGACTGTTGGTGCAGACTCCAGGCCCTGCATGTGTGACCTCCGGAGCTGGCCCAAGCCTCAGTTCCTGTCTTCCCAGGGGAGTTGAGACTTCATGGAGGGGCTGCAGGTGTGGCCTCAGGCCAGGCTGGCCTCCTGGGTCCTGCGCCCTGGCTAGGAGGCTGCGGAGACTGAGGGAGCAGGGGAGGGCTCCCGTTGCTCTTGGCGTCTGAACAGGTGAGCGGTTTGCCGTGGTTACCAAGACTAACTGCTGCCCTGGCCTAACGGTGGCCGGAGTGTGGCTTCCATGTCGGGAAGTCCCATGGTCTTGGCATGGTGGTGGAGGTCACCCTTCAGGAGAAGAGCTGCTTCCCCTGAGCACTCTGCCCAGCCCAACTCCAGGCCTGCCTGAAGCCACACAGGGCCTTCCAGGCAGTGGGGACAAGAGCCCCTCCTCTGGTCAGAACCTGCTGGGACCCTCAGACTGCTATTAGCCCATGTCCTGCCCTGCCCCACCCCTAGGGTGCCAGCGTGAGCTGAGGACTGGGCCTGCCTTGCACCGGGGCACCCCGACAAGACTGGCCTGGTGGGCAGCAATGGTGGACAAGGACAGGAGGGCAGAGGGTCTGAGGTTGAAGGGATTCCCTGTCCCTTAACTGCCTGGGTCCTTTGACTCAGGGACTCTTCTGAAGGGCCTTTAGGCCCAGTGGGTCCCTCCCACCTTTTCAAACAAGAGACCTCAGGGCCAGAAAGGGAAGCACGTCCAGTCGTCACATGGCAGGCCAGCACCAGCACGGCAACTGGAACTAGCCCCGACTCTAAGCCCACCATGCTGTCTCCAAGCCAACCTGAAGCCCTACAGGGACAGTAGGACAGTATGCTTGAGATGTGACCCTGAGACTTCAGTTGGGCACCTTCCAACAGCAGTTACTTTGGAGGTGTCGTGGCATTCAGGGAAGGGGAGTAGGATGAGATCACACGGCGCTGTTCAGGTGGGACACAGGCATGAGTCACACTGTGGAGATCTGATAGGGAAGAGGCCCCCGTGGGGACGTGTCTCCTGTCACCCTGTACCACCAGCGTGGACCTAGCTGTTCTGTGGACAGGGCTCAGCAGCCAAGTTCAGACCAGGAAAACACTGGATTCGACAAAGTAAAACTGGTTTCTTAAATGTGGGCCCTCCCAGGTCCTTAGGGAGTGTGTCTGCTGAGAGGTGGTGGCCAGCCTCCCCTTCACAAGAGAACCCCGGCTCAGGATGGCACGCGGGGCTGGGGCCTCCTCACCGCGTGACCTCTGCCTGCTCGGGTCTGCACCCCGGCCCCCTGGGTGGGGGTAAGCCACAGCTGGGGATGGCCTCCTGCTGGGGTTCCAGGCCCATCTCTGCACAGGCCATGCTGGGGGCCTAGGGGAGTGGGGCTCAGGGTCCCTCCAGGGCAGTGTGGCCCTGTGGGCTGAGCTCAGGAGGAGGAAGTGCTGAGGGCAGTCCCCCCTTCACATCCCCCCCCCAAAGGCTCCCAGCAGCCCCGCCCCCCACCGCTGGGTGGGACGCTCTGGTGGCTCAGCAGCCACAGGCCCCTGAGCAGGGCCTCTTCTGGGCAAGGGGGGGTCGGGAGGGATGATGACACCATGGCTGACCTCCCAAGATGGTGACAGAGTTTCACAGGCAGCCCCAGGACCCCTCCTCTCTCCATCAGCCTCAGAAGGGCCAAGACAGTGGCTGGTCCAGGAACAAGGACGTTTTATTTTCATAAATACTCGCGCCCCCGCCCCCGCCGCCTCCACTGCTGACCGTGGACAGATGGGTGGACAGGCGTGAGGCGCCCCAGGAGGCCCGGCAGAGACGAATGAGAGCTCGGGAGCCCTGCCTGGGCCACCCCCTGGCCTCACCCCGGGCTCTCACAGTCCCTCTAGAGACCTCGAAGTGAAGAGAGGCCCCCAGGAGGCAGGGCCTGGGTTGCGGCCACCGGCTACTCCGAAAGAAAAGCAAAGGAGCCAAACCACACAGCAGAGTGCAAACAGTGGGGGCACGGGTGTCCCCCAGTCACTGGGTTCCTATGAGGAGGCCTGGCTGGTCCCCAGCTCCAGCTTGACCTCCCGTTTATGGCTGGGCCTTCCCATAAGGCATGAGACAGGTGGGGAAGACCCCACCCAGGCTGGGGTCAGGGCTGGGCCCGATGGCCGGGCTCCTTCCCTTAGACCCAAGTCCTTCCATGGCTGGGCAGCCCCTCCCTGCTCCAGGACCCCACCAGTTTTGGGGGACCCTGGTGGTGCGAACCCAGGCCCAACCTCCCGCTGGGTTTGGCTCAGCAGGTGGGGAGGCAAAGCAGGAGGGGAAGAGTCACTTGGGGCCACAGGGTGGGGAGAGAAGCACCAGGCCAGGGGCACGTGGCCACGGAGAACAGAGGGTGTCCTGGGCCACCACAGCCTCTCCCCAGGCTGGACAGCAACTGGCCCGTCCTCTCCTCTCCCCAGCCCCTCTGTTCTAGAGGCTGCCCCAGGTCTCAGGTGGGGGGAACTGGTCCACGTCGCCCATCTCACTGTAGGTCTGGTCGCCCATGGTGAAGATGAGCTTGTAGCGCAGGCGGACCTTCTCCTGGGCAGATGGCGAAGGCGGAGGGTCAGGGGAGGAGAGGTGGCCCCCGCCCACAGCCCCGCCCGGCTCAGCTGGGCCCTTCACCTTCTGGGGGTTGGCGAGGAGCAGGACCTGAGTGATGGCTGAGGGGTGGACAACGGGGTTGAACGCCGGCAGCTCCGTGCCTGAGGGGGGCTGCAGCTTCACCTTCATGACCTGTGGCAGGACGGCAGACGGCACAGCTAGCCCCGTCACCTCCCGTGGCCCGAGGAACCAGGCCAGCTCCCCGCTGGGGGACTCTGCCCTTTGGCTCCCTTTTTCCCCAGCTCCCCAGCAAAGAAGGGAGACCCTGTCCCTGCCTGTCCTCAGGCAGCGGGCTCCCCAGCGCAGCCCTGCCTTGAGGAGGGTGCCCGTCCGCCCTGCAGCGTCACCTTGGGCACCGCTGACTGGAACACGATGTTGCGGATGGGCTGGGGGGCAGTGCTGAGCATGGACACCACCACCACCAGCACGTCAGCTCGCCCAGGCAGCGGGTCGCGGGCAAAGTGGAAGAGGACGCGGAAGCCATGCTGGTCGTACACGGTCACGGGCAAGATGCTGCCTGTGGAGAGAAG